TGTCTTGACCAAGTTTCAATTTCCTCATCACCATGACGCTCTCCTTGCGTTTACTGCTCAATGAAAATTTGTTTTTCATTCCACCAGTCCGCAGATGCCAAAGCGAACGAAGCAGTCAAGGTGATCAATGCATAAATCCCTTCTACTGTACAGTATTTTGAGAAGCAACTTAAACTTCCCTGTTGATGGTGGTAGCATCCGGTTGTGAAGGCGCGTCATTAGTAACCTATGAAATATTGACCAGTGAAATGGCAAGTCTGTGACTCAGTTGGTACAGTGAAACCTGTGGATTCGGCCACCTCCTATTTGGGACCAGAAGTGCTCCAATCCAATCAAGTGTTCCAATCGTTAGCTCCATAGATTCAATGTTAAAATAACATGTTTTATCCGGCCACCTGTCTAACCTTGGCCAACGGCCAAGGATTTGTAGACCATCTGTGCTGGCCACTCTTCTTTCCGGCCAGAACACAGGAAGGAAAGAAGTTCATAGGTTCATTTTCCCCTCTTTTTTTTTATTTCTCTGTCTTTCAGCATCCCTCCTTTCTTCCCTCTTTTCCTCCCTCTCGCCTCCCTTTCTCTCCTCCCCAATCCCCGAATTGACCCTTCGCTTGGTTGTCAAGGTCACATCTCCGGAGTTTCGATAGTGAGAGAACGATCATTAGAGTGTTGACCTGCCGCTAGTTCTTCCGTGTATCTTGCTTCCTTTTTTAAAGGCCATCGAGCGCTACGGAAAAGCTTAAGCACTTTTTAGCAGAGAAGGAGATGCACGAGTCAGTCGAAGCGACATGAAGCTCGAAGCGTCTTTCCAGGAGAGAGGGTCCATATGCAAAATGTGCGCGCATCAAACGAACATTCAAGACTTAGCTCAAAATGAAATAATGGTCTCCAAATTTCTCTTGGTGTACACCCATTCGGCACAACAACGTTGAGTCGACGTTGAAAAAAGGTTGATGGCAATGTTGCCTCAATGTTGAGAAAAGGTTAACTTTTCAACCTAACATGTTGCCATGATGTTGCCACAATGTTGAAATGAAACACAGCTCAACGTTGAAAAGTTGATGCTGTGCGACGTTGTGTCAACGTTGAATTTTCAACGTAAGGGCATTATAGTACCTCCTCCTTATTGCAGGGTTTGAATGAGCTTTGATTGTCGGATGAAATTGAACATGGACTCGATAACTCCATAGATGGTTCCCAAGAGGTGTGATACCAGCAGTACTCTACCGAGTACAATCATCCCACGTAAAAGACCCTCAGAGTTTTATTTCTCTACTGAATCAGAATTCACATTGAGTACTTGCATGACTCAAGTACCTCTCGGTCCAGTAGAGGAAACACAACCTCGCGGGCATGGTTTTTATACTCTATTCATTGTAGATGAATCTGAGTAAGAACGTGTCCCATGTGGAGATTTAGGAAAATTTGTGCGTGTCTTCTCGGACCCACTAGCCAGAAGTACTTTGGGTCTCCTTCTGCCTGATTACCTCCTTAAACATATCTATCTATGAATTCCTATACCTTCCCCTATGCTGTAAATGGGAAAAGATTGGGTACTGTCTGAAAAACGCACGGTACTGGTTATTTAAAGGCATCGGGATAAGAATCGCGGAATTGGCGGTTATGTGCCATCTCGCGTCGATTCGTAGAACACCGTTCGTCTTTGCCTGGCAGTCACGTTATGCATGCCCTTTGCCTGCGCAGTACGAGCAGGTGTCTGTTCCTGCTTTACATTCACCTATTCGGTGTCCGTACTGGAGGCATTTGAAGCATTGAATGAGACGTGGTTGAAGGACGAACTCTTCAACCCGTAGTCGCAGACAGCCGATTTTCATCATGGCGCCTTCCTTTATGAGATTTCGCGTATTGGGGGTCTATTGCCTTGACCAGGAGAAGCGGGAGAAGCGCGCCTGTTTTGATTTTACGCATTCTGGTGATTCCGTTCTCTATGCACGAAATTCCATATTCAAGGGCGAGAACGTCTCTAATGACACTCTTGTCTTCTTGGAGGTCCACGCCTCTAATGACGAATTTGCAAAGCGGGGTCCTAGCTCGCGCAGGGAAGACTTCTCCGCCGATCCCTGATTCGGGCCATTTGCTGGCGACGCGAGCAATGTCCAAAGGTTTCGCAAGGCTGAGGAACAAAGCCTGCGGAGCGAGTTTGTTTGATGTCGAGCAACTGGACTTTAGGGAAGGCGCTCATAAAGGCGCGAACGAATGCTATCCTCTGTTGGTGTTTCGGGGGGAGAGAATTCACAAAAAGGGGGTTTTGAAAAAGAGAGCTGCTAGTGGCTGTCTGAGGTTGAGTTGGGGGGACTGGTGAATTGCTACCGTGCAGAGAGGAATTTGCAGGCGTGGACGGTTGGGTGTGCGAATGGGAAGGGGAGAGACGGAGAGCTGCGTTCGGATTAGGAGCACTTTTGAGGGAGCGGATGGATTCGGAGGCTAAGGATGCAGGTTTGGAGTTGGCATGAGAAGATGGAGAGGATTGACGTTTCGGCCGAGGGAGTGTAGGTTGTGAAGAGGGGGAGGAGGGAGATTCTTATGAGTCTTCCTCTTACCAGGCATTCTGTGCCTGGTGAGAGGGGGGGAAGATTTAGGGAGAGAGCCTAGTGAACAGAGAGAAGCTAGAAGCAAGAAGAGAGAATGAGAACAGTCAACAGTGAGAGAATGCCTTCAAAAAGACAGTGCAGAAATGGTAAGGATTGCCTTCACAAAGAGAATTTCGCGCTGCCGGAACAATGGGCCCCGGCAGCAAGGGCGGGGATATCAGTTGATGCCTGGGAATAGACACTAGCCGTGGATCGGGTTTAACGTCTGTTCTTTGGGTTATTCATAGGGAATATGAGCTTGGTTGTTTCCTGGACTCCATGATTCTGTCTCTACTTTGCGGATAACAAATGAAGAATTGTCCAGCTTAATTGATTGCTATAATGAGACCAGGCGAGACATATGGCGAGGTACTAAACACTCCTGTGAGGGACGATTACAGGGAAAGAGAAGAGTACCTATGTGTACGGTGCTAAAAGTGAGACCTATGCCTCCATCTGATGGCCTGAAGAAGAACTTCGCCATTTCCCAAACAATTATATGTGCGGTCGGGCATCGCGTCGGCCCAATATTGGATGAATAATGATATAGCAATATCAGAATTTCTGTTTCCCTAAATTCAGGCAATATTGGCAATATTGCCCAAGACGTAGCCAACGAACCCAATGTTGGTCCAGCATTGACCCAATATCAGGTGTTAGTAATAACACTGGATAGGTTCTTGGTCGTTAAAAATTTTTTTTTTCCCTATTTGGTGATGCATATTCCATGATACTACCATAAATATTATTTAAAAAATGTGATTTAAGAAGGACCCATAATGCCATAACACTGCTACAATATTCACGCAACGTTGGTCTTTTGACATTCAACGTCGATGACATTGTATTGACTCTGGGGGAACGTTCCCACAACGCAACTATGTTTTCTGGGGTAACTCTTAAGCTCGAGCTTGAACATTCCTATGACTCATCCATATTGAGTAGACGCATAGGAAACGCGGAGTGAATGTAGAATGTATTCGTGGAATCCGTTGAAATGGGAAGTCCAACGTAAATTCTTTCATGCAGGATATTTCTTTCGATGTTGATTTTTCAACTTTCTGTCATACTATTGGAAGACCCTATTTCTGAGCTGTAGAATGTGATTTGTTGTGCCATTTTGCACCTCAAACCCTCTTCTGTAAGATTCTGTAACTCTCGTAACGAATCTTTCCTTCGGGGGAAAAAGGACATTTTCGAGACGTTTTAATTGCGGGATATTTGCATGTGAGGCCTCAATTCAAACATGTTTTGCATTGGGAGCTTTCCCTTTTCCTACGATAGTATTCGTAAAACGAAGGAGAGTGCACTCCTTCATTCGCAAATCCTTAATACCGTGAGAAAAAGGTGAAGGAAGGGAGGCGACTCGAGCGAGTCGGGGCATTTACAGGGGGTTCCGTGGCCGAGTGAGCGTAGGCGGATGCACGCTGACAGAAAAACTGCGACGAAGCAGCACTGCGACCGTCTGCGAGGTCCGTATATATTTCTTGATTGGGACCGAATGCGAAGTATCGCGTGGTACTCTCAAGACCATTTGGAAATGGTTCATGGAATGGGGCTCAAATGAAATAGTTATAATTAAAAAATTCATTAACCCGATGTGGTAGCCCTCATGACCCAAAGTAAGAATGAAACATTTTGGCTTCGGGTATGGAGCCGTTTTGGCACAATAATTCGCTAAATTTTGCGATTTAAAAAAAGGGGCACCTCTTCATGCTCATGTGAAAAACTTTTCGGCCTAAACGAACGCGACAAACACTATTGTTCTTTAAAAAGGTTAGACTTTCGAAGTTATTTCATATACTTTTTTTCTCGAGCTATGTCAAATTTGCAAAATTTTGGCATATTCAAAAATTTGCAAAACGTCAACATTTGCATAAAACCCTATCATCATGCATGTTTTTGGAATCAGTGGGAAAAGATCTAAGGATGTGTGTCCCATTTTTGTCCCAACAAATTCCACTTAAGGAGATATGATGGCTCGAAAAATGCAAAAATCACAAATTTGGCAAAAAATCACTGTATTCAATTATATGGTGCCATTTTCTATGCAGCTCAACAAACTTTAAAAATTTGCAGAATGTCTGTCATTTACTGGAGTAAAAGATGAGAGCAATTTCAAAGCTCATATTTTTTTTTAAGGTATACCACGCATTTTTATTCAGACCCCACCTCACAATATCTACCTTTGATTTTAAGGCCAAAGAACCATACAGTTTTCATTACCAGTTCTTCTAATTTTATTTTCTCATAACTGGAATCAAAGGGAAAATTTTGAACTGCGTATGAACTGCGTGTGGTGCCATTTACCTTTCCGAAACTCTAACATTGAAGTCGAAACGAAATGCAGACACCCTCCCTCCTACCAATGTTGTCAAACGACAACACTGGTTTGTCGAATCGTTGGTTCGTCACTATTCGCATGCCGAATCCACTGCTGACTCTACTCGACACGTGCACTGAGCGTTGTGAGTTCGTTGGGAGGAAACTAATGTTAGTTACAGTGTAAGTATTCGAAGTTGGGTCATAGCTAAAAGGCCAGTGTGCTGTGAAGTTATGGGGAGACTGAGAAAGCGCCACAACTGGAAAGCTCGACAGGAGACTAAGGTGGACATTGATACGACTTTGGAGAAGCAAGTGAGTTATGAGTAGCCTAACGTTAAACCTGTTATAGTGTTTTTCACTTGGGTTAGACAATTTTTCACGTGACTCAGACACAGGTGCATTGGACGTTCTTCATGCATGAGTATCGAAGTCAAGTGAAAAAGTGTCTAACTGAGCTGAAAAACACTGCAAAGGCTGCATTATCGATGGCCTACGTTGGTCATTGTCTCGTGAATACTCTGCCACGATCCTCTTTATCTTGCTCACTTTCCCAACTCCACATTTATAGGAGACTTTCAAAGCAGATAATGACAGCGTCTCAAGTGGGCCTTGGTAGGCCTAGCTTCAGCAGTCAGAAGCGGATAACCACATTTTCTTCATCCTGAATTTACTTTCTGTATGTAGAATTTGAATGGTTGCACCTCACAAAATATGGGACAGGTGACCCCTCTAACTCCTGACCAATGGCTCAATGCCTTCCCATGTATCTCAGATTAATGTTCTTATTAACCCTCAAGATTTACACTAGACTGGAAACTAACTGTTCTTGAACAACCTTTGACTATGATCCTTAACCTTGTTACAAAAGAATTAACACAGAATAAATAAATCAACATTTATCAATAAAACCATTAAGTGAATGATGCAAAAAAGTTTCTGAAAATTTCCTCCAAATTTGTATGAAGGAGGTGCCTCTGAAAACATAAAAAATTTAATTAAAAAACTATGGCATCTTTAAATATTGTGGTGCAAGAGAACAGCATTTTGCAAAGTGAAAACTGAAACCAGGAAATCATGAACGACTGATGAAGCATTAACACTGATGTAAATTACTTAATGAAGTAAAAAACGAACTCAAGTTTTATGCCTCAATAAGAAATTTGAGAGAGTAAGATGGTTGCTGAAAATTGTATGTACTCATGCATAGCCAAGCTAAAGCCTGAATAAAACCAAAGCTATTAACAGCAGTTGTAAACTACTGAATGACCCAGGGTGGATCTTGAGACTCTTTGAGCCCTTAAACTGATATTCTGCTTGTTCCCCCCCCTTTTTTTTATGCCTATGCCAATTGAATGCTGCATCCTTGCAATCAGGAAATGAAGGGTGTAAACCATCATTCTCATCAACTTGAGGAATTGTGAGGTTTCAGAAACCTGTTTCAGAAAATGACAGAAAGGGCTGAAAGGGAGCATGCATAAATTGTCCCTCCTTATGCCCTGTCCTTAATGTGCATGTGGTAGCTCATAATGCTGTCTCTTCTTTCAAGGTAAAATATTTTTTTAATTAATAGGACTTTTTTATTATTATGCACAAGGTGTTCCTTGTCTTTCTCTTCTGCTTAGTGCACTCAACATTTCTCTAGTTTCATACCTATTTTACCTCCTAGTGTTAATCAGTTGAAGGTCTTAAGGTCTACTGTGGTCCTTTTTGCCCTGCCTTTGGCATGGAAATTCATACATTAGTGCAATGGTCTCATGACAGCCCAACTGCACCTTACCGTGTTGGTACTGTATCTAACCTTTTTGGAGCTACTTTGTTTTAGCCTATTTATCATTATAGAGTTCTTTTTAGGGTTTCTAGTGGCTATTATATATTTAGCAGGGCAACTCCTATTCAGTCCATGCTTGATGTAACATACTCAAAGGGACAGGCTAAAAATCTTAATTAAAATGAAAATTTGTTATAGGAAATTTCCAACATTTCCCTGAAAAAAGGAGCCACATTAAACTTATTTTGCAATCCCTACAAAATATCATTTATTGTTCAAAAGCATAGGATAATGGTTCAGTCTTTACAGGTATTTTATCTCTCCCATGTCTAGCTCACAGTCTTGCAGCCACTTTTTTCTATTAATTTGCTTGCTTTTTTGCCAATTTTGATGAGGTGGATTGATTCTGATCCTGTTAAGACACCCTTTGACAGTGTTTGCATCTAGGCACTTATTTTTGCAATGCTCTTATAAATTCATGCTATTCATCTATGAAAGTGGATTTTTGCATGAAATATGGGTGGCCAAACATGCAGATATGAATTTGTGCTGGATCCTCATGAGTCTAATACAAACAAAATTTTTGGAGTTCTGATATGAAATACCAATGTCTATTTATCCTTTCCTTGTGTGCCTCTGCCCATGGCTCTTAGGTGTATGTTCATTCATTTATATGTGTTGGATATTTATTTGCTTCATATTGAATCTATAGATACCTGTTGTGGAAGGAGCTGGTGTCACAATTGAAAAAACTGATGAAGCCAATGCCCTTGTTTTACCATCACGGAAAAGGAAAACTGTGAAGAGACATGATGGTCAGGTGTCTGTGCCCCTTCTCTCCAAAAAGCAGCGGAAGCACTTGGAAAAAATTGTTGAGCGGCACAAGAAGAAAAAAGAGGTAGGCATAGTCTTAGTAGCAGGCCTTGGGATGCTTGTATATTGAAGCTGGAAATTGAATCTACCACTCCCAAAAGGAATGATATGGCCTGTTCTCCCCCTCTCTGATCTTTGATGGATGAAATGTATACATCCTCAATGCACTCACAATGAGTGGTCATATCCCTTATTTTTTCTTTTTTCTGGAGGCATGAAATTCTAACGTCTCACTCATGCTATCATGTAGATGAATTTGGTATGCATTCTGATTTTTTTCTTGCTGCTACTAATTCCAGTTGTTAGAGAACTTTGACTAAGTTTTCCTTGGTATGGATTGCATGGTACTCAATCATGTCAGATGTGTTTTACAAAAGTTTTTTCTTTGAGAAATCCTAATTCTCTTTGTCTGCTGCCCCTTCCTACCTGTCATCCTCTGAGCCATTGCCATAGTTTCATGGCCCAATTTATTACCATTGGCCATGTGTTGCATACATGTTAGTAAACTGGAGAATCTTTCCACAGAGGAGATATAACATTGTTATCTGTGTTTAAGAGTGACTCAGAATTTTATTCCATGTTGGATATGTGCTCTTGGTGCTAGGACAAAGTGTTGCCAGGACAAAACATCATCAGACAAAATGTCCCCTGGACAAAATGTAATGGAGAAATTTTTTTGGACTAATGTAAACAAGGCATATTATCACTTGACAAAATATTCTGTTAACATAATTAAATATGTGTGATAGTGCTGACGATCATGTTGGAATCATGTGTAGAAGTCAAGAAATGTACCCAAGAGTGACCCACTAGCATTTTAAAAGAACCTTGTCAATGAACATGCAGCTAACAAGATAACCATTTATAGACAATAGGTCATTGAAACCATTTCGGGAAGCCTATATGTTCCCACACCTCTTAATTTCGGCAAGCTATTTGGAACTGGAAGTTGAATGTTTTCTTTGAAGTGTTGATGTACATCTTGACATGGTGAGGGGGAGGGAAACAACCCAAAGAAAAAGATGAATTTTCCTCTTTATCTGCCCCCCCCCTTACAAGTCCTCCTCATACCTAATCCTCCTGTTTTAAAAATGCCTGATGAATGAGACTCCTACTCCCCTGCTGAGATGCCCCTAAGCTAAAAAGGTCATTCAAAATAGATAAGGAAACCAAATTGCAGTGGAGGGAAGAATTCTAGAGCATTTAAAGCGGGGATTTGCAATGCACAACTCAGTTCATCTGCCTACTGAACCATTCCCTGACGAGATGGAGTTCATTCAAACACAGAACATGCAGACACTGCTGCATCAAAACTACAGATTCACGAAGGAGAAGAATGGCGATCAAGGGAAGATCATTTGGAGACTTGAACATAGGACGTGTAGAGCAAGAATAAAATGAGGCTCTCAGCACAATGGTAGCTGACTTTGCTAATCTGGATGTTGTACAATTTTTTTCTGATGTTGAACACATTTTCAGCATTAATGTCCTGTGATTGAACTTCATTTGTCATGTGATTTCCCCTTCTTGGACTTACTTGTGAATTTACGTGATTTCTTATTTTGAATTCATATTATTAGCTTGTACTTGGTATTCAGCTTTTTCCTGAAGGAAACTTCCTCCCTATGCCTATCCCAGTTCAACCTCCAGCCATATGGGTATAAAACACCAGAACCACCATTTTCTCAGTGGTGACATTTTTTCTGATGACATTTTGCCCGGAAACATTTGGTCCACAAAATTTTATCTGGCGACAATTTATATGTTCATGGTGCTCTTCAACTAAGACATTGATTTTGTGCTGTAATTGGTTGCTGTTTTTGCTTGTGCAGAGAGCTGATCTTCTTGCAGCACTGCAACAGCATCAGGTTAGTTCTTCCGAGCAAGAGCAGTTCACCTCAATATCAGCAGTGCAAACTGAAGGTCTCAAGAAACGAAAGCTCTCTAGTATCAGAATCAGCCGGAAGAAGAGGAGACTAGAGAAAAAGAAGGCAAAGGATTCACAGTTAGAGCTAGAAGATGACTCTGAATATGAACTTGCTAATGAAGACAAGAACCGAGTCAATTTCAGTGTGATTGGCCTGAAAGTGAGTAACAGCTATCTCAGTTGTAGGCTAATGTGATTTTCTTATTAGATGTTTTTACCCTTGCCATATAATAATAGAGAGATATGTGATCCTCCAAGCATGATGGGCATTAAAACTCATTTTAAAAAAAGCAACTCTTCATGTTATAATATTGATGGTCAACATCGCAGTGCAGTGATACACACTGCAGCTTACTTTCACTCTTTCTGTCAAGGCCTGAAATTTTCAGTTTCACTTCCATGATGCCTAAAGAAAGAGGCTAAATTGGGTCAGTGAAGACTTTGTATCTGATACTATTGTTCATATCTCATGCACTTCTTGAAGGCTTTCTTGGCAGAGCTTAAGCATTCTCTTGTATGAAGAAGTTCCTAAGCCCTTTGCCTACCCTTGGATGGGGTAGAAATCCCTTGCTCTGACTCCCTCTTTCTGTAGTTTCAGGAAATAGGTTTTTAATGTATAATTTTTGCATATCCTAAATCAAAATAGATGAAAGTATGCAATCTGGAAGTTTTGCATTGCCATCAATGTGTTTCACATGAAGAAGGTATGTAAAAGTCTAATTATGCAGAAATAAGATTGCATAGTGATGAGACCTCTCTTCCCATGCTTGTAAGGCTGGGAAATTCACTTACATATGCTTGCACAGGGGTTTTTATGAGAAAATTACTTTAAGAGTCTTTTTTTGCCATACCCTATAAATATTCCTCTTTGATACTCTTATGATACTTTCTAGGGTGATTGACTTGTGAAGGTGCACAATATATTTTGTGCCATTCAACCTGAATGTACCATCCAACAAATATAGCAAACTCCTCAGTCTGTACTTCAGCCCTGAGTAGGTGCTCTTATCAGATGTGCTCTCTCCCTCTTCTTGTTTTTTTTTTTTTTTTTTATCTTATGGCCTTAACTTGGAAGAAATGCAAGATCAGCAATTGTGGACCAACTAAGGAAAGTAAGAAAATTAATTTTAAGAAAAGGTAAAAAATAGATGAGAGTTCCCGGTCTGTTTCAAGTCCAACTTTCAGGAAGCAACAATGCTTTTGGAGTATGAGCTCAGATTTAAGTTTTTTGTTAGGAATTAGAACCAATTCAACTCAACATGAACACAGCACTCGAGAGGGAGATCTCAGTCCCATAGGAGTGGGAAGGGAATGCAGTGATTGTAACCAAGGAGAAGCTAAGTGCATATGCATCATATTTCCTCTTCCCCAGGACTGAGATATCTCTCTCTACACAGCATAAAAGAGATGAGCCACCCCCACATGCACTTATGAATGGAAGCCTACATATATAGACTGTTCATGAGTTTTTCTTGATGGTTCACTCCAGGTTGGTGTTGATAGCGAGAGTTCAGATGAAGAATATACATCAGAGGACTCACAAAAGGATTCATCCTTGGTGGTTGAAGGCAAACCAAAGGATCAGAACGTTACAGCTGTTGATAATGAAGGAGAGGCTCCCTTGGACTCATCATCAGAGCTGATAACACAGAGAAATCATACCAGGAAGACAGAAGGAGATGCAATAGAGCCAACAGTATTCGTACCTGTGCACCGCGCAGAGGAAGTGCAGCAGCAGCGGTCAAAGTTGCCCATATTTGGAGAGGAGCAGGCAGTGATAGAGGCAGTGCGGGAAAATCCCGTTGTGATTGTTGCTGGAGAAACTGGTTCAGGAAAGACCACTCAAGTCCCTCAGTTCCTCTATGAAGCTGGCTATGCATTGTAAGCAATACCACAAGTCTGGATTCTTTACTTGAGAGACAACAGTTGATTCTTGACATTTTTGTTTTTCCTCAGGAAAGGAATGATCGGAGTGACTGAGCCCAGACGAGTTGCTGCCATCTCCATGTCTCAGCGAGTTGCCTATGAGATGTCCCTGTCCAAGGACATTGTGTCCTATCAGATCCGATATGATGGTAATGTCACACCAGACACCAAAATCAAGTTCATGACTGATGGTGTGTTGCTCAAGGAGATCCAGAAGGTATCATACTTGAATGACATTGGATTCCATGGATGTTTTTTATACGATTAATCCCAATCAAGAGGTAACCTCATAGTATCAACTGAATATTTAAGATACCAATCATCCTGAGAGCCTGCTATGAATTCAAAATAATAATTTCTGGTCAGAGAACAGATTGGTGTAGGTGTATTGAGAAAAGGTTCTCACCTGTTACAACCATTATCTGCAGGATTGACATCAAAATGAATGATGTCACTTTGCATAGTGTCCAAAAAGTCTCTTCCCAAAGGAAAATACATTGAAACTCATGTTTGTGTAAGATGCAATGATGAAAGGTAATAAGCAAAATTTGTGCTACTAGTTGCAGGAAAGTCTGCATTGGATGTTATTGACCAAATAGCAAGAATAAGAAAAACTTAAGAGTGTGGTGCAGACTTTGGGGTATATATGTTTTAAGATAGTTGAGATAAGATAGTTTATCTTTAAGAGAACTTTAAATGGTGAGCAATACCTGAACATGTTGGGAGATTATTTAGTGCCTCAGCTTGATGGAATCAGAGAGGATCTGCCTGTGTGGTTCAAGCAAGATGGTGCACACTCTCACTACACATTGCCCATTTGTGATTAGCAGGCATGATCCCATGGCACGGGCTCCTGTGTTCACTGGATCTCACTCCAATGGACTTTTTCTAATTGGGGTATCTTAAGTGTATCAAGTAAAAATTAGGATTCTCAACCATCTCCATGAACAGATCATATGTATTTGTGCATCCAGTGATGGCAATGAGAGCTTCTTCCAAAGGGTTCACAAGAGTATGAAATCCTGACTGCAAACCTGCTTGGAACAGAGTGAAGAAACATTGTAAAAAATTTATGGTTTGGTTTCTTGAATAAATTCATTTCCCATTGAGTAGAGACTTTTCAGACACCCTGTGTTGTGCATGCTGCTAGATGGGGGAGGAATTCCTTTAAGGTGGCATCAGTGTGGAACTCACTTGCCCCACACCTCACTCCCATTCAATGTAGTGGGGAATTTTGACACATCCATTATCTTCTTTGGCAATCATAAACAGCTGAGAGAGGGATTTCTGCCAGTTTTTGAGTATTTCTGATTTCCTATTTGCATACTTCTTGAATAACTTTCTGAAAACCATAGCACACCAGATAAATTGTGTATCAAAGTGTAGCTTATTTTAATGTAATTATTCTGCTTGTTTCAGAACAAATGGCTGATTTTTTCTTGGGGAAAGTGAAACTTTAAGGTTACTGCCCTGTGTTGAGGCAGTGGCATTCTGCATTGTAAGAGATACAGAAGTGAACCTTATCACACACCTGGATTACAGTGAATCTTGTTCTTTATGTTGACTTGTATTGTTTGGATTGTGGTTCTAGTATTGATTGCCCAAAACTGGAACTACAATTATAATGAGCTTTCAAGTTTGATTTCAAATAATCCAAGATTCACCACATTGAACTCATGCACATGATGAAGTTTGCCCCTATGTGGTAGCCCTTTGCCATAGCATAGTGCACTACCTTTAAATTTTCACTGTTACCATTCAAATCAGCTGATTTTTCTCAAACAAACAGAAAATTTGCATTAAAATGAGCTTTATTTTGATACATAATAATTTATCTTGAGCTCTTTACAATTTTCTGTTAGGTGGGTGGCAATCATTGTGTAACACTCTGCAATTATTGTATTCAACCCAAAACCTCCAATTATCTGTCAGTCTTGAAAAGTCATACTCAGTGATTTCATTTTTCCATTCCCATATTAATAAGTAAGATGTTAGTTGTAAAAATTTATAGCAATTTTATGGAAGCCCACAAAGTTTGTCTGTCTTGAAACTTGGCATTTGGTTTATATAGGACTTCCTTCTGAAATCATACTCTGTGATCATCCTGGATGAGGCTCATGAGCGGAGCGTGTTCACAGATGTCCTCATTGGGCTCCTATCCCGGATCCTCCCTATTCGAGCCAAGCGGGGTCCTCCTCTCAAGCTCCTCATCATGTCAGCCACACTGCGCATTGAGGACTTTGTTGAGAACACTCGCCTCTTCAGAAGCCCTCCGCCTGTCATTACAGTCAGTCTGACAATTTCAAAGTATCTGATTGGAAAGAAAGTTCTCGGAATTTCTTGAATATCCAGTACAATTTTTTTCCAGAGCATGCTAGAATGTTCTGCGTGTGTTTATAAGTAGGTCGTGTCCTTCGGCATACAACCGTATATTATTACAGCCCTGGTGCTCTCCAGCCATGAACCAGCCCTACCCTCTTACTAAGGAGCAAGTTCGCCTGCTTCTT